AAAAAAAAAAAAAAAAAAACAAACCCAGCTCACTCACACCTTTGCAAACTCAGCACTTGGTCTGTGTCCCTCACCCCATTACCTACATTGACAATGCTTTTCCCTGGAAGTAGCCAACAGCATTTTACTTGAAATCACTGATTGGAATTAGTTACATGCCCTGTTTAACTACAACAGAACTGGAAAGTTCAATCTTCTCCATTACCCAGGAGAAAGGAGAATCAGATATTGGTGGAGACTAGAAGTCCATCAGAGGAGGCCCAGCAAAAGATGCATCATGATTTACTTGGCAATTATAGAGAGACCAGTCACTTTGCCATTTTCATCATCAGAAGTGATACATACCTCAGCACAATTCCTCTTTGGGATAATTGCAGATAGGTAGCGCTCTTCCTAAAGCAGTGATCAAGTACAAAATCATCAAATTAACCCCCACATTGGCAGAAGGTTGAGATAGCTGTTTCCTCTCCCGCTAGAGAAGATTAACCAATAGCTCTTTAGAAGGATAAGCGGGGCAAGTCACAGATGGCATGCAGTATTGATTGTCTGTGTCCTCACATACAGAAGCTGGGAATAGCTCTCAAAGAGGTATTGCACAACTGTCATGGAAGGGGCAGAAATACAATGTTATCTTTCAATACTGTGGGATTGATTAAAACAACCAGACAGAGAGAGACGTATTACCCCACCCTGACCAGCCCAGAAATACTCAGCAATGCAGGATGAGCTGGAGTCAGGGGTCCCCCGGCAGGCACGCCCAAGAACAAGCTGATGTCCTTGCTCCCAGCTCTGATTCTGCTGCCTGACATATCTACTGAGGTCGCTGAGTCAAGGGTTTTTAACCTGTGATATAGAGCTATATCTCATGAGATCTTCTCAAACTGCAAACTTTGTGTGTGTTCTAAGGAAAGGCTTTATAGGTTAAAATAAGACAAATAAAACATCCCTTACTCCCCAAAAGGCTAGAACAATGGGGTTGAAGAATGTCACTTGATTCTTCCAGATTCAACGCTGACAGTTCTACGGCCGATTCTGGTCAACTCATGGGTCTGAGGAGCACAGAGCATATATTCTCATAAAATCGTGAAACTGACTTAGCGCACAGATAGCATGCAAACTAGTGCTCAATAAAGGCATGCAATGTGAACGTGGATTTTATTTTCCCTAATTTTTGAATATGCCATTTGCAGAAGGCCAGAGAAACATCTGCTATACCTGATTATTTCTGTCTCCTTTTCCATTTTACAGAAGCCATGAGTGCCTCTCCTGCTTTGCCTTTCGTATTTCCACTTTACTCTCAGAAACTCTATGCGAAAGAAGAAGCGGACAACAATTTCCTCCAAATGGAATTAGAGGACACAGTTTAAACCACTCAACTTTGAACCAAGATCCTAAAACCCCTATTTCAATAACTAGTAATTGTTCTGCACAAACTCATGTTCAAAAAATAAACTTCAAAATGGTGATGAGCGACTCTTAATGGACCAAATTTTCTGACTTAAATGTACTGAGGTACCTCAGCCACTAGCTCTCAGCGTCACTGCCCAGTGCCTTAATTAGCCACAGGCTCAGTCTTGCTTGAATTCTAATTGAGTCCTGGGCTAATTGTCCATTAAATACGTTGGAGCATTCCACAGATGATCTCACAAAGTCTTCATTTCTCCCACCTCTGATTTGCACACAGAAGCCCATCTGGGAAGGCTTGGGATGGCAGAATACTATAGTTGGTGGCTTCCCGTGGAACAAAGAAAGGGGGAGAAGATCTGAAATGACTCACACCATGACCAGCACCTTACATCAGAGATGAGATCTTTCAAGTTCTGTGTGAAGTTAGGAACCCTTTCCATCTTGGCATTTTCACAGTGCATTTGGGGTGAGGTTGAATATATATATATATATCTTTAGGCTGAAGAGAGAGGTTGAAAGTGCAGATTCTTGAAAGAGCAGGTAATCCAGCTACCACTGGCCTTGGCCATGGGAGGAGGAAGCACAAAGGGCCTGTACCCCAGAGAGCAGGTGGATGGACTGTTGGACATGCCTCTGCTCCACCCCAAGCTCCCCAAAACTGCATTCCTGGACTTCCTCCTCCCCCTGTCCCAAATATCAGTTGACTGCTCATGTTCTCTGCTGGTCCAGATCTAGTCTCTCCTGAAACACACACTGCTTTTGTGCCTGAATGAAGAACTCCCACCTGGGGGTTTTGAGCTACGATGTCATCTGTAAAAATCTGCTCTAGTGAGGTTGTCCTGCAACTTCCACCTTAGGTTTCTTTGGAGGAGACATGGAATTGGTCAGATAGGTCAGTTCCATTATTTATTTCTGCAAAGCCTGAAAGCTGAACTATTGGAAGACTTTCCTAAGTGTGGACTCGGCAGCAGATTCAATCAGTGGCTTGGTTCTGGGGAACAACAGGAACCAAACCTGTTTTGGACACCAGGGTTTTCAGGCCTTGACTCTGATTTCCAGGGTAATCCATCCTTCTACCTACAGGATCAGGTTTACTTATAAAGGATGATTTCTCCAGAGGACCATTCTCAAATTCACAAAATCATAAGTTGTACAAATTTAAAATGAACATATTTAACTAATTCAAAGAAGAATCTGAAGAATGAATGTATAGATATCTATCTTATGCATTCATTCTTGCATACCTTTCTCTATAAGATAGATGATAGAGATAGAAATAGATAGATATAGATATATAATTCACACACACACACACACACACCCATCACAAAAGCTGATGCAGATCTACCAGTAAATGCAGAAGCAGTCCCAAACATCATCTTGATAAGATGCTGGGATCACCTTTTCCACAGGGGAGAAATCAATTGTGTGTATACAGATGAAATTCATTCGCATTTCTATAGAAAAGAGTCATTTTTACTTCTACCAATTGTCTAGAATTTACAGCGGTAACAGTCTAGTCAAAGACAATCCAAGAGGCAGACCCCTATGGGATTGGATAAGGCTGGAGGATCTGGTAGATTGCTCCCAGAATTCCACTAAAAGAGCCACCTGTAATCCTTTGCCAATTTCAGAGTCTTTCAGATTTTTACCTACAAGCTCACCTGGGGATCATAAATACTATCTCCCAATTCTATGCATGGTCATAAAGTGGTTGGTCTCATTAGATTTGGTCTGCTTCTTTCCATAGGTGCTACAAGAATGTTAATTAACCACATATTTGCTTTGTAAATTGAGAACCATGCAGTACTGAGTTACGAATAAGGCCACAGAATTAACTGCTGTTTGGAAGTTTTTCTAAGGAGATTGAATTTTATTTTTAAAGCCGCTATTATTTGCTATCCAGAGATTAGGAAATCAAGTCTAAAAAAGCTCTACTGGAGAATTTTATTGGTCCTCACAGTACCAATAAATCTAATGAATTCCTCTCTTCTCAAAGTCCCTAAAATTTACAAAGATTCTTGTCTTACCAGGAGGTGGCCTGCCTCACTGTCTGTAAGGCCAAGACCCTACGCGGGGTTAACCTGAGTTTACACTGTTTTCTTAAAGCAGCATGTCATTCCTGAGTAAATAAGAATTCTTCTGAAATATTACAGTCCTTGTATGGTCTTAGTCACATAATTCAGCTGTGTTCTGGTAAATAGTTGGACAGATTTGTATCAGATCTATGTAACTAGCTGTACTGCCATTATAAAAAAAAAAGAGGGAGACTCAGTAAGGGCCTAGGACTTCTCGGGAATCAGTGAGAATGGGGCTGATTTAATAGTGTTCTCGTTCCTTTACAAAAGCAGGGTCTACTTAACTGAGTGTCAGCAATGCTTCAGAAACACCAAGAAAGGGTTTCATAATACATACGTTGAACAGAATAACTAAGTTCCAAGCATCAGATGTCAAATCAGAACACCCCCTCACAGGTTCATTTGTCTCTTGTTCTGCTAGAGGTGAGTCGTGCACCTAGTTCATGAGGCTGTGTGCTTCCACTCTAAGCAGAGCCCCAGAGCTGGTGCCCCAGCCAGGGTGCCGTCTAACAGCATCGAACTGAGGTTAGGTCAGAAGCCGGTATTCAAGAGTCTTCACTGGGGAGCTTCGGGGGCCACAGTGCCTGGAATGGTCCTCTCCGTGACATCAAAGACTAGAAGCTGGGCTGGTGGCCTGCACCATGTGGCAGAACCTTCAGAGAAACATCAGAGTAGAGCAAAAATTATCTGTGGTGACAAAGACTTAATGGTTATGGTCAATTTATGAGCATCATCAATAACATCAGAATGCAGGAGCATTAATTCCCCGCTGGAATATAAAGCATAATTATTTCATAAGGGTTTGATCAGTGCTTGCTTTGAGATAAGATGTCTAAATCCCCAGCGTCTTCTAATAAGGTATATGTTTTCTGAAGCGCTTATATTCATAGCATCTTACCTGAACAAATTCTCAAAGGAAATCCCCTTTTCTAATGTGATGACTATTCCCATATAACTCTTGCAGTATCCTTGAATTAATCTAAGAAATATATAGCACATTAAACAAACTTAATTATTTCAAGTACTTGTCTTTTTATACAGTAGAAAGTAAATCTTTGCAATTGCTCTGGGGCCTTTGAGGAATCTCAAAAATAGCTCTAGGTGGAAAAGATATCCTGTCATTTTTGTTTACTTTTTTCTAAATATAGCATTCAATCTTGGTAAGGCAAAGTCAAAAGAGTTGTCAGAGGAGATTTTGAACATTTGATTCTGATCGGATCATAGGTATCTGAGAGCCCAGGGCTTGATGATCTATTTAAATCAAAGAAGAAAAAAAATCTGAAATCAACATAAAAGGTAATACATTTGCAAAGAACTGTCTTCGGATTCTTTTAACAATCAAGGACATAATAAAGTCAACACGAAGCACACACATAAAGCACAGTTGTTCTGGCAGGTACAGGTCCTCTGCTACCTAAACAGGTTTTACAGAAAGGAAAGAATCACTTTGCATCCTATAAATGAAGTATTAATCTATAAGCCAAGGAAATAGCCCCATGGAACATGAACATACAGTGAAAATTTAACTGACTTTCTGCCTTCTTTTCACATGCAGCTATTATAAACCTTAACCACAAAATCCATGTGATTTTGGGAAGTCCAAACTGAGTATTTTCTATGTGAATTTATTTGAAATTCAATTTCATTACTTTGGGGAAGCTCTAAGGATATTCAATTTATTTGTGCATTTATTTCTATCAACAATCAGAACTGAGCTCCTTCAACTTAAAGAGATGCAACAATCTAACTTATCCATATCCTCTGGAAGGGCCGGGGTGTGGCTCAGTGGTAGAGGGCTTGTTTAGCATGTGCAAGGCCCTGGTTTAAAAGAATCCCCTGGAGATGGGACCCGTACTCTGTGATGCGCACAGAGACAGCAGGCCTCACAGAGAACCTACAGCCTCAGTGCCACGCCTCGGCCCCAGGTGAACAGTGAACACAGACACTCCAAAGCTCTGAACAGTGAACACAGACACTCCAGTTCTCCAAGAGCTCTTTTCCTTCCCAGAAAGTCCTAATTGTCCAGAGCTTGGACCAGCAAGCAAGAAGGACTGAAAGAACAAATTCTCTGTTGTGTCTCATCAACAGGGACTCGATCACTCTCACCCCCTACAGACATCAGCAAACCGCAGTTCACAGAGCCAGGGTTCCAATCATCACTGCCTCCCATGGGCCTAAGTTAACACCCATGAGAAGAAAAAGACACCAAGTCAGGGAAAAGAAAGTAGACCAAACAGAGTCCCTGCACCATTTAAGCTCCGTGGCCACTTGGAACTTAGACTGAGAGTCAAGGAGAAACACACTCAGGCTTATGCACTTACCCATGAGGGCCACTGGCCCAGCAACACGGTTTGTCACACAGATACTGGTGTCCCACTGGGATTTCCAAACTAACACAGAAAAATTTTCAAATGGTAAAACCATAACCTTCATACCAATAAATAACATAAGAATAAAATAAAATGATATAAAATTAATTAATTAATGAGGGCACTGATTTAAGCATCTATGCCTGGAACATAGAGGAACAACCATATAACTCTTCATAGATTCCTCAAGCCTCTGCTTTTGAAACTGTCAAAGCCCATGGGAGTAACCCCCTTCTCTAATCCTATGGATCCTATTGTTGAAATATCATATCTGTTTCATGAGCTTTGAAGTACCTAAAGTAATTATAAACATTCTCTGCTTTAGTTTCATTTTTTATAATTGTTGGAACAAAGTTTAGCTAAGTAAACTGCATGATCAAGCTGGACAATTATCATCAGTCTATTGAAAGATCATAGCATTGTATTAGAGGCTGCATTATGGGCTGTTTCTAGTCCTGACGCTGGCCAACTTTGAGGTCCTGGGTTGCATTCATAAAATGCAGGGTGAGGATGGATGCTCTCAGGGCCTTCTCAGCCCCATGGTCAGTGTAAATGTTGCCAGGGAAAAGTTACCAGGACCATGTACTCTATGCACCTGGGATGCTTGTACAATAAATAAATTTCTAGTCCTCTTCACACACACAACTTGAATGTGGGTAGGACCCAGGAATCTGAACTTCAAATAATTTTTAGATTATTCCTTAATAAACTGAAGTTTGAAAATCCTTAGTGTATGTTTTTCCCCCTTGAACAAAAATCAGTTAAGATGATTACATAGGTCCCAGGTTTTCCAGTGAGTGGTACACTATTATTGCCTTCAAGTGACAGTCATGTACAGTCATTTCAACTTTGGAATGATGTTGAAAGTGACCAAAGTTGTCACTGTGTTTAATGTGGTAGTAACAGTGCACTGTGTGCTTGGATCATCATGCTCAATGTAAGACCTGGAGTGCTGCATGGTCCACAGTGAACAGTGTGAGGCAACTGGCAGGTCCCTCAACCCACTCTTCTGGCCTTTCACTTCCTTCTTCATCATCAATGGCTTAGAGAAAATGAAACCAAAATCTGATTGTTTGAAAGGAAAAGTCAACTTAGAAATCCTCTTACCACACTAAGGAACAGCAGTGGGTCGGGGAATAGCAAGTTACCAATATCAGAAATAAAATAAGGGTCTTCACTACTCATCCCATGGACATGAAAAGGTTAATGAAGGATACTATCTACAGTGCTATGCCTACAAACTTGATAACTTGGATGAAATGGACCAATTCCTAAAAAAAAAAATGTCAAAACGTATACAAGGAAAAATAATTTGAATAAACCAAAAGTATTGAAGAAATTAAATCAATAATTAATAATCTTCCAAAAGAAAAAAAATCTGATTCAGATGGGTTCAGTGGTGAATTAAGAAGAGATAACAACCATTCTCTATAATTCCTTCTAGAAAATAGAAGTAGAGGGAATCATTCCTAACATTTTATAAGGTCAGCAATACTCTAATATCTACACCAAACAAATACAAGATAGGAAATCCATAGACAAATATCTGTCATGCATACAGACTTTAATATTCTAAACAAAGCATTAGCAAATAAAATTGAAGTAAAATAACTCTATATCACAATCAAGAGGGGAATATTCCAGGTATTCAGGGCTATTTCAACATTCAAAAAGAAATTATTATCCACTAGATGAATAGGCTAAAGAAACAATATCATGTGACTATATCAGTTGCTACAGAAAAAGCATTTGACAAGATCCAGTATTATCATGATAAAACATCTCAGTGTGATAAAAAATAGTTTAGATTTTTCTCTTAAATGTAAGTAACATCACACTGAATAGTGAGATACCACATGCTTTCTCCTTAAAGTCTGGAAGGAAGTCAAGTCCATCTCTTTCAGTTCTTATGAAACATCATACTAAAAATGCAAACTAGTGCAATAAGATAAGAAAAAGAAATTAAACTTTTACTGATTGGAAAGAAAAAAAACTGTATTCATGGTTGTCTATGTGGGAAAACTTGAAGAAACTACCAATAACTCCTTGAACTAATAAGAGAGTATTACAATGTCATAAGACACAAGGTTCATACAAAAAGGCAATTGCTCTCTTAAGAAGGGTTGCTCTTTTATTGTATAAAGATATTAATTCAATAAATGGGTTTTCCACTCCAAGGAGGTTGTAGCCAAATCTTGAAGAGCAAGAAACCTTCCACTAAGGAATCAGTGGTCCTCTGCAGGGAGTAGTACAATGGATACTTTTTTTAAAAATTACCTTTATTCTTTATTTTCTATGGAGCTGAATAAGAAGAAGGATGTAAGTTGGGTCAGATACTAAAGGGCAAAAGGTCTTTGACATAGGAGATGATGTTAATTGCTAAGATTAATGTCAGAAAATTTAAAAAGATACTGCATAATTCAATAAAGGAAAATGGAGACTAGGGGTTCCTTTATAAAAGTAGTAAAATAGAAGACTTCAATCTCTATACCACTTTAAAAGTTTTGAACAATAGAGAAAAGTCTATTAATGCTTTTGCAAAAAGATATTTTGATCATTTTCTTTCCTACTTATGCATTTGACTTCAACAATAGCTGGATGTTATTTTCTCTGAACTCTGCCTGTCCTACTTTGTGATATTTTTACATGGACTTCGAATGCCTTTGCTCAGTTAGCCAATGGGCTGTGACCCTCTGCGTCTGGTCTCTGACAATGTGTCATCAAATGCAAGGGCTGTGCTAGTAATTGCCACCCTGGTGCTGAGCAGCCTGTAATCACTGCCGGAAAACCAGGCATGAATGTGCAGACTGCGTCTCAGCCTGGCTCCAGACAGTTCTCACGTAGGAAGCCCATTTTAACTCAGCTTCATGTGGAGCTCAACCAAGCCGTTTTCCAAACTCTGAAATCTGGCAAAATTCCTCAGCCCCAGGGCTACTCAGGAGAGATGCACAGTGGAAGCCTGGTGTCTTTACAGGGTGCTGTGTTGCGTTGGTCCCTGTGGGTCCCTACCACCTTTCTCCACCAGCTCATCCACCATTGTTTTAAGAGTCCTGGACAAGCCACAGGAGTCCACCAAGCATAGTCACCCCTCCATTATGGGAAAGGAAGACCTCCTCTCCAGCTTGATGCTGGGAAAATCAAAGAACGTCCCACCTCCACTCCTGCCCTGAGGAGCAGGCTGCAGCTGCCAGGGGCTGGTTTTTAGCCCCCTCTGAACTCCGCTTCCTATTTGACCTCATCTCCACAGCCCAGGCAACAGAAAAACCCTAGAAAGAAAACTACCTGCACAGAGGAATTTCTGCACATAAAGACACAAAACAGGATATTGCACCTTTTATATCTTTCAGGAGATTCAAAGGACCCAGTCTTGGATTACTAAAATCACTAAAACCTGGTTTATATCACTAGCTTCACAATAAGGGGGGGGGAGTATTAAATTTCACAGCATTCCAAACTAAACTATGTTGCCAGTAATGCCTTATTCCCAACCACAATACAGACACGTGTGTTACTATGTGGCTAAGAATCTCAGCGTGTCTCAACACAGCCCTGGTAAGTTGTTCTGCAAACTTTCATTTGCCCAAAACAGATTTCTGTGTGAAAATTTGCAAGGATCTGAGTCTTTTCCTTTCATTCCCCATCCCCGTATCTATGCTTGACACCTGCGTGTTAGAATTCAGAAAGAGAAGAGCGACAAAGTTCACAACACTTGGGGAAAGAATCTCATTCAAAAATAGCCTTCTGTGGATGCAGAATGATTTGGCAATTTGTAAGAGCTCCTTGTCTCTAACCTTACTCAGGAAATAATTCCTCCAGGATGAGAAGCTTTGCCTGAATTGGAAACAAATGATTCACGGTCAGAGAGGTCCTATCAAAAAATAAAGAAGAGACAAGTCCCTTTGGCAACTCCCAATGGAATTCTTTCCTACAAACACATATCAAGATAACAAAAGATAATGGTTTAGTTTTTTTTATCCATGGTCCTTTCAGAGAAAAAAATAAAATAAATAAACAGAATTGTAGAAACAGAAGGTAACCACTGAAGCACAAGCACTAGTTAAATTTTCACTCTTAATCAATTAACATCTGTATTGACCACCTTTGGAATATTGGTTCTGAAGAATTTAAAAATTCAATTAAAGAAGTAGAATCAAGAAAGTTAGCAAAAAGGGGAGGGTGTTGAAAGTATTGCTATGGGAAGAAAGAGTAAGGCCACCATTTGTTCTGTAACTCTGAATCAGAATTAAAACCTAGAAAAGGAAACGCAGGATAGGAAGCTATAGTCCATAAACAGGCCAGACGTGAACAGCTCTGAAATCTTCCTCTGCCACGGAGCAGAGTGGGAGGAAAGTGGAATCAGAACACAAGCAGGTGAGGAAAAAAGGAGGAGGGCACAGTGAACCCGCCACCCAGGAAAGAAGCAGACCCCAAAGATGAGGCATGAGGTTCTGCCAGGAAAAAAAAAAAATGACTAAGAAATAAACATAAAACAGACTTCCAACGGGTGGCTCTGTGCTCCTGAGCAATCGACAGGAACATTGCTCAGCTCGTGAAACGACATGGAAATAAAAGTTAATGTGTGCAGAAATTCAAAAAGAAAAACAATGCAAGAATCTAACCACTTCGCAATTTAGAGGGATAAAAGAGAAGATCCAAAAGACTGAAGGGGAAGCTAAATGGCCTCCGAAGCCTTTATCCTTCTTGGATCTCCTCTGAATTTCTCTTCAAAAACAAAGGGAAATGTTGTGTCTAACTGTCAGGCTACAGGGAGAGACAGGGAGCCTCCGGAGCAGAGATGATTTCAAGTCTGCAGAGGACAAACCTGTGTGGTGAAAAACGAGACGCAGAAGTCATGATCATTTGTCACCAGGCCTGGGGAGGGCTGTGTCGTCTCCGCATCTGGAATCTTCATCAGCACACCAGCGTGGAGCTCACCTCTGGCCACCTTTCACCGCTTAAGGTCACATACATCGACAACACTTAGGTCCGTGAAACTTCGAAAAGCATCTGTGAAAGTCAGCATCTTCAAGATTAAAATGCCCTGGTACGACTGGGATTTTCAAGATCAAAATAATCTCTGATTAGAATTCCTTAACTTTTTTTTTTCAATAGAATTCCTTAGTGTTTTTACTACGACATTGGAGTTCTACCTCGCCGTGGGTTCGTTTTGACCTGTCTATATGCACATGGACGACATTTCATCCCAGGACTTCCTCTCCCCATCCCCTACTCCCTCCCCCTACCCCCTCCTCCTCTCTTACAGTCTTCTTTCTGTCCATTGGTTTTTTTCTAACTGGTGCTTTATCAACACACATAGAGGTGAGATCCTCTGTAGTATGTTCATATTCACACACAGCATAATTGGGTCAGTGTCACTCTGCAGTTCCTGCCTTTGCCCATCCCTCTTCTCTCCCTCTCAAGTCTCCTCCTCACTCCACTGGTCGCCCCTCTATTTTTGTGATGTCTCCCCTTTTTCCCTTATTTGCTCTAGTTTCTTCTGCATATGACAGAAAACATTCAAGCCTTGATTTTTCTGGGCCTGTCTTATTTCACTGAGCATGATGTTCTCCATTGTATCCACTTACCAGCACATACCATAATTTAATTTTTTATGGCTGAGCAAAACTCCATTGTGAACACAGCCCACATTTCTTTATCCATTCATCTGTTGATGGGCATCTGGACTGGTCCACAACTTGACTATTGTGAAATGTTTATATTGCTATAAACATGGACGTGCTTGTACCGCTACAGTGTGCTGGTTTTAGTTCTTCTAGATACACACCAAGGACCGGAACAGCTGAGTAATAAGATGGCCGTGTTCCTGGTCTTCTGAGGAATCTCCATCCTGCCTTTGAAAGTACTAATTTGCAGCTGATCAACAATGTGTATCTTTTCACCCACATCCTCCCCAGGATTTGTTATTATTTGTATTCTTGATGATTGCCATTCTAAGTGGAGTGAGATGAAATCTCAACGTTGTTTTGATTTGTATTTCCCCTGATTGCTAGGAATGTTGAAATTTTTTTCATTCATTTGTTGGCCATTTATATTTCTTCTTTTGAGAAATACCTGGGTCTTTTGCCCATTTATTGATTTTTTTTATTCCTTTCTTTTTTTGGTGTTAAGCCCTTTGAGTTCTTTATATATTATGGACAGTCTCCAACAGAGCAGTAGCTGACAAAGAGCTTCTCCCATTCCGCAGGCCTCCCTCTTCACACCTCTAATTGTTTGTTGGGCACCTCTAATTTGATGTCTGGCTAGAATTTTTGAGCGGCTCCCAACATCTCATTAAAATACCTGTAAGATGTCTATTGAAACTAAAATACTTTGAACAAACTAAGACTCATGGATGCTCAGCATGTAGCTTCAATTTAGAAGACACTGCTGCTCAGAAGAGGGGAACTCTGAGAAGAATCAGAATGTGTTCGCTCGCACGTGTGAGAATCCACGCAAGTCACCAGCCGGGGGAAGACAGGCGGGCCCCGAGTGGTCACAGCCTCTCCGTCCTGTTCTGGAGAAGCATGTTGCAGGGCAAACTGCTTCTTGAGGAGCATCAGAAGCACCAGGCTCAGGAGTCGGCAGTCGCAGTTGTAAAGGCCTGGCCTAAAACAAAAGCCAGAGATCTCAGTCACGATTTATGAATCGAGCTGTTTAGGGCACCTTTTAAAAATCAGATTAAGAAATTGCCAACCACATAAACAGCCATCTCAAGGGAACAATTAAATAAATCATGGCCTGGCCATGTGATTACTTGTAAAAACTGTGTTTGGAGAAAATTTAACAACTTGGGAACATGTCATAATACAATATCAAGTGATAAAAAGCAGAATATAAAATTTATTTACAATCTGACCAAATTATGTTGAAGTCAAACACACACACACACACACACACACACACACACACACACTAAATACTGAAAGTCAATAAAAAAAAAGTTAATAGTGGTTCCCTGGGTGATAGCAACACAATGATGCCATTAGAATTTCTCTGCACTGAGCATATGTCTCTTTTATAATAATAAAATAGTCTGAGTATTGTTTAAATAAAAACAAGCACAGTCCCCATCACAAGGATTAGAACAGCATTGACTTTGCCTAAAACTATTGCATATTCCTATATTGACAGAGACACATTCACACTCTCTTCTGAATATCAGATAAAACAATATATGCCTCTGTGATGGGATGGAATTAAATAAAATAATGTATCTTAAATGACAAACCTAACTCTACCACAAAGTAGCTATGAATAACTACGAGCCAGATATGAACAAGTGCAATGAAACTAGCCAGTAATCTATCAAAAAAAGTCCATGCTACCATAAAAAGGATGAAATCATGCTCTTTGCAGCAACACAGATGAGCCTACAGGACATTATGTTAAATGAAATAAACCAGGCTCAGGAAGACAAGGTGCACGTGCCCTCACTCATATGGAAGCCGGAAACGTTGATGTCTTAGAGTCACAGAGTGGGATGCTGGTTGGTTGCTAGGGCTGGGAAGAGTAGGAGAGAAATTGGATGATGGGTACAAAAATATAACAGGGAAAGAAGAACAAGTTCTAATGTGCCGAGGCCGATGAAAATAGCTTAGAGCGATTTATCAAACACTTTACAGTAGCTAGGAGAGAGGATTACGAATTCTCCCAACACAAAGAAATGAGCATGGGAGGTGACGGAAATGTGATTCCGCTGACTGATGATCATACACTGCACACCTATATTGAAATACTGCACTGTATCCCATATATGGGTACAATTGTGTTAATTAAAAGTAAAATTTAGAAAGGCTCATTCCAGATTAGCATTTCAACTGCTGCTTTCCCACATATATGGGACTATCATCGCAAGCACACTGTTGGTCTTCAGCCCCTCACACCATGTGGGACGTCTGTCCAAAAGCAGGCGATGCCTCTCCCTTGGCCAGAGCCAGCTGGCATGGAAGGAGTTGAAGAGATGCTTCATCATGGTGGCAGAAACACAAGCAGCAAGACGCACAGAGATGAAAATAATGGAAGACCTAATACAAGAATAAACGATCCAGCACCTCATTCTATAGCAGATTTTCACATCAGTGCCCAGGAATAAATTTAGAGCATATCGTTAAAACTGTGTTTTCACATCCCACAAGGACATAGACTAGATTACCCCCAGAGAAAAGCATCAATGTGTCACATACACAATATAGGTGGCCTAAGGCAATAAGAAATAGGCTTTCATCCCATTCCATTATATTTCCTCTGAACTGCGTTTCTCCTTTCTGTGTTCTGTGATCATCGTGGGCTGGGTTATTCATGGCCAGGATGCTACTCAGCCTTTTCAGATTTATTCATCATTACCTCCAAATAAAAGAGTTAAATTTTATGCAGCCATACAGGAAAAAAAAAAGCCAAAGATCTTGTAGGGTGTTTTATAAAGTAAATTATTATCATCCATCCAGAAAAAGCAACATGATAGAATATTTCAATTTTGTCATTGAAAGCCTTCAACAAAGGTAGGTAATACTGAGTAGGTAGGTGTTTAATATTTTAATGCAGAAAGATGTTAAATAAATGTTTACAGATGCTGACTTCAAATTCAAAATCAGATGGGAAGCCAAAACATGAAGACAGAGGGATCTAGAATATTTTTTAAAATTTAAAGTTGGCTGAGGATCAAAATTAGACCAGATCTCAGGCTCTGCTTTGGGAAACAAAAAGAAATGCTGGAAGAAGGCTGAAAGAACCAGCCACGATGCCCGTGTCCCCACGGGCAGGCCCCCTGCCCAGGGCGGCTCTGAATCCCCAAGCCACTTGGCCAGATGGGTCTCATAATCCCCAACAGCATTGTGATCCTGATCCATGTCCAGCCCATGTGTCCCCAGGACACATCTGTGCACCAAAGACCGAGTCAGGAGAGTGAGGCCGGAGGTGAGCGAGGCCGGGGGTGAGCGAGGCCGGGGGTCCCCACCACTGCCTGTGTGTGGGCGAGTCTGGGTTTTCTATGTGTCTTGGACAACCCTACGCACTGCAGGGTTGACTCAGACCAAAGGCCACTCCCTGTCATTTGTATGTTCAGACAACAGCCGGAAGTGGTGCCCTGGGTTGGGTTGACATGCAGGCTGTGGACAGGCTAAGGCCCACAGGGGCTTCACGCCTGACTCCCATGAAGCTGGTCCTGGCCAGGAGCCTGCAGAATCTGCTCTTGGTCTCCTCCTGCTCCTCTTGGTCCTTCACCGAAGGCTCGTCCTCTAATCACCTGCTGAGGTTGGAAAGCCTCCGACTCCGGCCTCCGCCCTCCGCCCTCTTCCCTCCTCACTTCCCTCTCCCTGTCGTGGCCCTCAGCACCCCCCCCCCACCTGGGGCCAGTTCACTTCCCCAGCCACAGCCTTTCCACAGCTTCACTGAGTGCACCCAGCTGGTGACCCTACAGAGCCATGGAAGTTTCTGGAAGTCGTCTACAACTTACATTTGAGCCTGTTATGTCCTCCAATCCTGCTTTGTCCGTCCATCTTCCCAGCTTGGCCAGTGACACATCACCTACTGCACTGCCCCAGGTTTAGGGGTCTTCCTGCATGCCCTCTTTACCCCTTGCCCCTAGCACACCACATCCTGCCTGCTAGGCCTGGTGACCATCTCCTGGGCCCGCTCTCCTGCTTCCTGCTCCACCTGAGCTCTCCAGGTCTTGCCCCAAGCAGAGCAGCACACCTGCCGCTGAGCCTCCAGATCCTCCTCCGCCACTCACCAGGCACGTCTAAGCCCCCCGCCTCGGTTTCCTCAGCTACAAGACGGGAAAGGTCCCGCCCTCTCTCAGGAGCTGTTGAAGGGCTGAAGCAAGGGAACGGTGGCACCTATGGAGCGTGGCCTTACCCTGCCTGCGTGCCAGCCAGGGGGCACAGCCCAGATCACACGACTCATGGGCTGAAACCCGCAGGGCCTTCCCCTGGCATTTCCCTGGGCAGCTTTGCTCTCCTGCACCCCTGCTGTGTGGTCCTCAGCCACCTGACCCAGGACCTCTCCTCCTGCCCCCTGCCCTGCACATCCTCCCTCCCCAGCCCACTCCTCTCCAGGCCTGGGTAGGCTTTACTTTCTCTACGCC